GCCCACTGTTGCCCTAAATGATTTTTCAAGGACGCCCAAGCCTGCCATGTTCATGTCTTTCTTGAAGTCTTTTTGGACTGACATCCCCACCCCTCATCAGCCAAATTCCGTGCATCCCCCAGGGCTCACTTCGTGCACAAAGTTCGAGCCCCCACCCAACATCCATAATCCACTCCTTTCTCATCTCTGCACCAACAGGGCACCTACTGTATGTTCTGGAGTATCCCAGGGCCTCGGTTTCTACATCTTAACATCTAGAAAATAATCATACCTACCTTATAAAGTTATGGGGTAGCTTAATGGCATACTGCATATAAAGCATTATGTTATGATATAGATTGTAAGGGGCTCTTAGAAAAGAACCTGGCATGTACTGGCAAACCAAACCCACTGCCACCTAGTCAATTCTGCCTCACAGTGATCCTCTAGAACAGGGCAGACCTGCTCCTTAGGGTTTCAAGACTAAATTTTTACAGGAATGACTGGTGGGCTTGAACCACTGACCTTATAGTTAGCAGCTCAAAATTTAACCAACTGTACCACCAGCGCTCCCCAGCATATACTAAAAAACTCCCAAACCAAACTCACTGCCATCAAGCTGATTCCAACTCAGCTAAGGTATGGGGCCGGGTAGAACTGCCTTTGTGGATTTCCATACTTGTTGAGTGGAAGTGGGAGAAATGCAGCAACAAAGAGATGGGTGGAGTCTGGCCACTGAAACCCATGGACCTGGTTCACAGGGACTAGAGGAAAAGACGAGAGCAGATTGAATGGTCTAAAGTTCATGACCTAGCACAAGGGGGCTAGGGTTGTTGAGAATTTGTGATGAGGCCCATGATCTAAAGGCAAGCCAGCCAATGGGGGCCCTGGTGAGGCTAAGTGAGGCAGCCCACATTGAGTTGACTGGAACTTGACCAGATGAAGAGCAGGTTTTTGAGCCTGTGAACTGGTGCATGTTGCTGCAGACTTTATGGATGGCCTGTCCTGATCTGACTTTGCTTATGGATGCAGACTCACAAGGTTCCAACTGGAATGAAGACTCTTCATATCAAAGAATATGACTGTCTCCTCAGAACACTGGGTTGATATAAGTGGGCAGAATAGGAATTGGATACCCAAAAGTGGGGGGGATAAAGGCATGAAGTGGTTGGCTTACAAACTTTGATAGGTGGGAGAATATATTCATAAGATTATAAGATTACGGTATAGGTGTTACTTAACTGCAATTATTAGGCATAGAATATGTTGTGTTGTTCATTTATAGAATATTATGTTTAAATGAGGCTTTGGCACATTTTTTAATTATATGCATTTTAGTTTTATCCCGTTAGGTACAGATATGATTTTATTATTGTTTTGTTTAAAAATTATATATAGCTAAAGAGTTGTGTGAAAGTGTCAAGTTGACAAGGGGTAGTCTGGGTAGTTACATAATCTGTTGTCAACTTGAGACTATTGGGAGCGAAGGGGTGAAGTTTAGCTTGTTAATCAGGTCGCAGCTTGATGACCTCATTTGGAGGCACTAAGGAGATAAATAGCTCATTGGAGGCGGGACACACACTCACTCTCTGTGAGACATTTCTGCTGACAAGACACATGGAGCTACGCTAGTGTCCTAGAGCTGGAAGAGCCATGTGGAGACCCCTGCCAGTGTTGAGCTGCTTTCACTGCCATTGGATCCACAAGACTTCCCATCTGCAATCTTCCTGCAGTCAGCCTCATTACATGTGTTCCGTGAGTCTGAAGAGGACTGGTATAGATTGGTATCGGACATATGGGCTAATATTGGACTTGCGGACTTGACCTGGATTGGGCTGGAATGTTTTCTCAATGTACACGCTCTTTGATTCTTTCTTACACAGACATGAGTCTCCCTGGATTTGTTTCTCTAGTCTACCCGGAGTGATACTCCCAGACTGTAACTCTTAGTGGGAGAAGAAAGCCTCATCAGTCTCCCTCCAAGTGGCTGGTGGCTCTGAATTGCTGACCTTGCAGTTAGCAGGCCAGCATTTAACCAGCACACCACCAGGGCTCCTCCCAATAAGTGGTGGCGAGGACAAGGTAACGATGGGGATTGACACAGAACAGAATTGCTATGTGTCATGTATGGAAGTTGGTGCTACACTAAATCGGTGGTTCTCACATGTAAGGGTGCATCAGAATCACTTGGAGGTTATTTTTTTGAAACACAGGATTTCAGGGGTCAGTTCCTACAATTTCTGACTTGGTTAGACTTATGTAGGAACATTCATAGAAACTTTATTTATAATTGTCCCCAAATTAGCAACAACAATAACTACAATGACAAAAGTCTAACAATAGGAAAAAGAATAAACAACTGTGGTATATTCATACAATAGAATACTACTCAGCCATAAAATTAAAAAAATAAAAACTAGTGGACATAATAAAATAGAGTCTAAAAACATGTTGAGTGAGAGAATAAGAGGCAACAGTATTTATCGTCAATGCTGACATGTCTAAGAAATCCAAAACAGATCAAATGAATTTATGATGGCAAATCAGCACAAGGGTTACTTGGAGGGGTTGGCAATTTATTAGAGGGGGTAGGAGGGAACTTTCTTGGTGAATGTAAATGCTCTATGTTTTTACTAGATTGGTGGTTAAGAAGATGCATTATTTATCAAAACTCACCAAACTGTACACTTAAAATGTGTGTATTTTGCCATGGACCAATTTTACATAAATGTAAAATGAAATTAGGAGGTTAATATTACCTAACCTTCTAGGTAGCTGGAAGGATTAGAAACTACAAATGAGGGGAACCGATTACAAGGATCTTACATGTGACCTCCTCTGTGGGGGATGGACAACAGAAAAGTGGGTGAAGGGAGACATCGGACAGGGCAAGATATGTCAAAATAATAATTTATAAATTATCACGGGTTCATGAGGGAGGGGGGGAGCTAATGTCAGTGGCTTAAGTGGAGAGCAAATGTTTTGAGAATGATGAGGACAATGAATGTACAAATGTGCTTTACACAATTGATGTATGTATGGATTATGATAAGAGTTGTATGAGCCCCTGATAAAATGATTTTAAAAAAAGAAACTACAAATGTAACATATCTGGAATGTAGTAGATACTCAATGACCGGGAATTCAAATAATGATTCCAAGTGCCCGTGGACCAGCTATCACTCTCTCCTGACTGAAATGAAGCTCACGTGAGCTCAAGTTCACTGTGAAGCGAAGCAGAAACAGATCTCAACCTGTGAGATCAAAGGCTTCTCTGGAGCGGCAGTCTGTGCCTCCACCTCAGGGAGGCTGAGCTGGAAGGACAGTGGGTCTGGGTTTCAGACAAACAGGCAGTTGGAGAATGGCAGAGTGCTTTTCTTCTGACCATTAGTGCCACTTGAGTTGGCAGAGGGAGAGAAAGAGACACGCTACACAGTGTACTTAGGCTGCAGGTGTCTGGAATAGAATGGGTTCAAGAAGCAGGATTTTGAAATAAGTCTTGGAAAACTCACATGGGAAAATCGTAGGAGTCTAGTCCAGATAAAACCTGTGGCTCACCATAAACACATCTCTCTGAGATACCATTTTTCCCTGTCATGACCATGGCCCCAGTATTTGTGAGGACATACTAGGTGCCAGGCACAGTACCGACTGCGTCACAAACATCAAATAATCCTCACAACAACCCAACAACAGATCTGATCACTTCCGTTTCACAGGTGAAGAAAGGGGAGCGCAGTGGAGAGCAGTAATTCCTTAGCCCAACAGCTAGCAAACATTCCTCTCTGGTTTCCCAAAGGGGCCAGTCAGCATCTGCGTGTCCACTCCCCATCACGGGGAACTCACTCACCCGACTGCATCCCACTTGCTGAGCCATGACCTGGCTGCCCCTCTACTCTCTGGACAGCCTGCCTCCGAGAACGACAGAAAGCCACTGGACTCTCTTCTCCAACACAGCCTTCAAGTCTTGGAAGGCAGCAACTGTGTGTCCTTATGGCTCCTCGTTTCCAGACTGGATGTCCCTAATTCTCTCCAGCATTCCCAGAGCGCCACATCTCTTCACATTCCAAATTAATACCTCACCAAACCAAACCAAACTCACTGCCGACTCAGAGTGGCCTGACAGGGCAGGGCAAACCTGCCCTGCGCATTTCCAAGACTGGAACTCTTTACAGGAGCAGAAAGCCCCATTTTACAGGGAATCCAGATAAACCCCTCAGGAACAGAAATGGGAGCAGTGATACCAGGAGGGGAGGGGGGAAGTGGGGAAAGGAAAGGGAAGAAGGGGGAACCAATCGCAATGATCGACACATAACTGCCCCCCCCCAACCAGGTGATGAACAGAAACGTGAAGGGAGACAGCAGTCAGTGTAAGATATTAAAATAAGAATAATTCATAATTTATCAAGGGTTCACAAAGTTGGGAGGGGGGAGGGAGGGTAAAAAAGAAGAGTTGATACCAAGGGCTCAAACAGAAAGTAAATGTTTAGAAAATAATGATGGAAACTTATGTACAAATATGCTTGATATAACTGATGTATGGATTGTTATAAGAGCTGTAAGAGCCCCAAATAAAAATTATCTTTAAAAAAAAAGAAAAGGTAAAAAGCCGGCCTTTTTCCTCACAGAACAGCTGGTGGTCTTGAACTGCCGACCTGCAGATCACCACCCAATGCGTAACCACCACGCTACCAAAATGGTGGTTAACACAGGGAAGCGGCATTGGTGACTCTCCTTTCTGGCCTTGAGCTGAGCGAATGCCTTCAACAACCCCAAGTACATTCCTTTCACAGTATAACACAGGGTCGGCGACAGAAACGGGTGCAGGCTGCAGCCCAGAGAGCTAGCTGGCCCGTGCTCCGCACACTTCCCTACTCAGACAAATAGAATGTTAACATTCGGTATGTCCGCAGCTCCTCATTCTCACTTGGGCTGAATAGTGTTCTAAGCACATCCCTCCCCTCCGCGGCCCTCCCCACTGTCCCGCCCCCGCAGAAGCTGGGCACAGCCCCAGGGCTCACCATGGAGTTCATGGCAAAGTGATTGTGCTGCGTCTGTAGGTCTAGGGCGTGCTGGTAGCTGACTCCGATTTCCGTGTGGCTCTGCAGGAACAACTCCTTGTTGTGGCTTATCCAGTCAAACATCTACAGGGGACAAGAAGACGCAGAATGATCACGAAGAGTCCTGGGTCTAACAACAACAACAACAAATTTGAAGCATGTCTAGAAAACACAACCACTCTCCTCCCCAACTCCCACCCCCGGGTGTGCCCAGTGACACCCAGCTATCATCATTCATAAGGCCAGGACGCCCCAGCCTGGCTTCGTCTGTTCAGTAAGGAGCCACCGTCAGCCTCTGTGTTTCTCTACGGAACCTGAGGGAAAAGGAGAAAGTGGGTGAGGAGAGAGGGAAAGGGGCAGGAAGCTGTTTACTGTTCCCAGCTACCTGCCCCTTTTTAAAGCACCCAAAGGGCCCTTCCTTGCCAGTGGTTCTCAACCTTCCCAATGCCTTGACCCTTTAACACAGTTCCTCACGTTGTGGTGACCCCCCCAGCCATACAATTATTTTCGTTGCTACTTCATAACTATAATTTTGCTGTTATGAATCGGGTGGCCCCTGTGAAAGGGTCGTTCGACCCCCAAAGGGGTCGTGACCCACAGGTTGAGAACTGCTGCTTTAGAGACAGGTGCTGAAGAACAAGCTGGAAGGCTCGGTGTGTTCTGGAATGCACTAGAAGAGAGAAAACCTTGCTGTCAGCAACAGGCCAAGTGTGGCCATCTGAAGGCAACAGCTGGGCCCGCTGGGCTAAGTGTATTCCTGGACTGTAGTATTAAATTAAAATTGGCGATGGGGGTGGGGGGCCAGCCCCCACCGCTACTACTACTACCCACGGGTTCAGTAATGCACAATTGTACAGTTGAGATATATAAGTATTATATTAAAGTCATCGAGAGCATGAGCGATATTACAATAATGCAGTTGGACACATTACATGGTAGCATTGCTCACCTCAGCCCAGCTTGGTGGTCCACGTGGAGAGAGGGGGAAGGGAAGGAGGGCAAGGGAACAAGGGAGAGAGGAGAGAGGGAAGAGAGGGGATGCAGAGAGAGAGGTCTGAGAGAGGGGTCTGAGAGAGTCAGAGTGCTGACCCATGCCTATATACCTTTTGGGGGCATGCCAGCCCACTAATTACAGGTAGAGACATAGGGAGTCACAAGGAGGAGCTGCACTATAGGTTACACAGCAATGAGAGGGTGGTCTAGGGGGTGGTCTCTGGGTCTCCATAGGAACCATTATCAGTAGGGTGAAAACTCCTCCTACAGGAGCCTGTCCATTGTCCCCAGAGGCAGGGAGCAGGCCTACCCCTGTGGAGGGATGAGACAGCAGTCTGGCAACTGATTGGCCTCAGTGGGGGAATGCCTGCGCATCTGACCTCCCCCCACACTGGGCAAGGCTGTGGCACTCATCCTTCACGTCCCTCCCTTTACACGTTGTGCAATACATGCGCATTGGACTTGAATGAGAGCTCATCCTGAGCACTAGGCTTGCTCGGAGTCAGGCTCGACTTGATGGCCATGGGTCTGGTTTAGGTTATGTTCACAAATCCATTTTAAGTCTCTCCATGGATTAAGATTTCATTGACTCTTTTTCTGACCATTAACCAGGAATGCGAGCAGTCCTGCCCTCCGGCAGACTGCGTTAGAAAGAGGATTACTACCATTCTGCTAGCCAAGGTCAGGGGAGTGGGGACATCTGGATGCTATTGGGGTGCTAGGATCTCATGACTGCCTTGGTCGGAAGGGCTTGTAAGTGTATCTGTCTAACATGATGTACGTATGTCCCAGTCATGATCCCGTAGTCCCACCAGTGATCAGGCACCAGTCATGCTTCTGAGACTATTTCCTTTGCCCTCCCATGTTCTATTTAAGCCTCTAGTTCTCTGGCCACTCTTGGACATCATGATGGCCTCCAGCCAGTGGTCTCCTCATCTGGGAGCACTCTGAACAGTCAAAAGAACAAGTAGCTCTGTCTTGGAGGAAGTACAGCCACACGGACACAGTGGCTGCAACAATGGGCTCAAGCACAGGAACAATTGGGGGGAGGTCCAGAACTGGGAAGTGTGTCATATGGTCTTGATGAGTTGGAAATGAGGTGACGGCACCTCACAACAACACTGTTTGGTTAATTTTGTCTTCTCGGGCTTCCCTTTGAAATGCTTTGCTCAGCACTTCCTCTTCACCATTCTTCCATGCGCTTTAGCTCCTCTCTGATCCTGAGCAAATTTCAGAGTGTATTTTGATATCCACTTTGATCTTGAAATGTGCAGAGAAAATCAAAAGGAAGAGAGTGCTCAGCATATACCAAGCTGAAAGAACTGGAGGGGGGGAAAATCAAGACTCAATTTGCAATACTGAAATATCCTATGGGCAAAATATTGAATGATGCAGGAAGTTTACAAAGAAGATGGATGGAATACACATAGTCACTGTATGAAAAGAACTAGTCAACATGCAACCATTTCAAGAGGTAGCATATGGTCAAGAAGTAATGGTAACTGAAAGAAAAAGTCCAACCTGCACTGAAAGAATAACTGAAAGCAAGGCTCCCAGAATTGAAGGAACACCAACTGAAATGTTTCAACAAGCTGTCGAAGCACTCATTCACCTGTGCCAGGAAATCTGGAAGACAGCTACCTGGCCAGCTGACTGAGAGAGTCACATTTGGATCTGTTCCAAAGAAATGTGGCCCAACAGAATGTGCAAATTACTGAACAATACCATCAATACCATAAGCAGGTAAAGTTTTGCTGAAGATAATTCAATAATAGTTGCAGCAGAATCTCGACAGAGTTGCTGGAAAGCCAAGCTGGTTCAGTAAAGGACCAGGTACAAGAGATGGAATTGTTGATCTCAGATGGACATTGGCTGAAAGCAAAGAATACCAGAAAGATGTTTGTTTTATTGACTATGCCAAAGCATTTGACAGCGTGGACCATGAAAA